AGATAATGCAAACTGACTCTCAGCTCCTGAGACCAAATGGGACATCAATTTGATATAAATCTCAAAACTGATGCTTCAGGTGTTATTGACTCTGTGTATGGTTTCAGGCAAACAGTCTTCTAGTTCAAGAGAATCTCACAAAGTGCTTTTTTAAAATACAAAAAAAAAAAAAAAAAAAAAAAAGAACTACCATTTTCCTCATTCCTGCAGGTGCCCAACCAGGTTGACTCGCTGGAGTGCATTTTCTGCATTCTTAATAGATAGCTAGCAGGAAACGCCTTATACAGCCCCAGCTAGAGGGGTAGAAAGTAGCAAGGGCGTTGGGGGTACAAATTCCCAGCTCCTGCTTTCGCAAGCACGGAGCTATTCTGATGTGGGCCAGGCAGCTCTGGCAATCAAAACGCACTTTTTCCAGCCATAGAATCTTGCTCTGTCTCAGGTGATGGTCCAGAATTAAGGTAAGAGAAGCTTGAAACCAGGGGTGGGGAGTGTGGGGCGGGAGGAGTTGGGGGGAGGGAGGGGTGGAAGAGATGGAACTTTAACTGGGAGAAGTGGGGGAAACATTGCAAGCTTTACTCAATGAGATACAATCTGGTTCCTTTGGGGACTTTGTTACAAGTGTGTTTTGTGACAACAAACTCCTCTGACTTCCCACCTGACCCCTTACCCCTTGGTACTAAGTGCCATTTTGCAGAAGTGTGGTAAGCATGTCTATGCAGGTAAACTGTGGTAGAGCTCAGACCAAACTACTGGTTTGGGATTCTGTGTTCAAAAATTTTTTGGCAGAAGTTTGGGCTGTATATATATCTGAACTGGGATCTCACTCTGTCCCCCAGGCTGGAGTGCAGTGGCACCATCATGGCTTACTGCAGTCTCAACTTCTTGGGCTCAGGCGATCCTTCTGCCTCAGCCTCCCGATTTCTGGGACTACAAGTATGTGCCACCATGCCCAGCTATATTTTTATTTTTTGTAGAAAGGAGGTCTCACTGAGTTGCCTAGGCTGATCTCGAACTCCTTGGCTCAAGCAATCCTCCCCCCTCAGCCTCCCGGAGTGCTGAAGTTATAGGTATGAGCCACCGCACCTGGCCTGGGCAATATTTTGAGGGAGACTTGGTGTCTTTATATTTTGTGATTTGGGGAGGTTGCAAGCTGCATGTAGTTTTGTCGTTCTGCTATTCTGGCTACATGACCAGCAAAGCTTTGCCTTGGGTTTTTGCCTAAAAGAGACTTTTGCTTCAAGCCAACTACTGATACAGAAATATCTTTTCCAGGACACTCCCCCTCCCTTTCTTCAGTCTCACTGACATCCCCTTAGATACAACTTAGCAGCATCTCTTTCTCCTAGACCAGACCCATCCCACCAATTCACTCATGAATAAAGAGACCTTTACAGAGAGCTCATTTGAGTTTCTCCAGAGGTGCAATGGGATGTAATTCTTCATAGGACTGAGCCAATGAGAGTTCTTGGAATTTTAATATCCCTCAAATACACCCCAGGGAGTTGTTTATGAGTGGATGGAGAAAAGTAACCCTATGGCTTTCCTTTGGAGTGTGTGTCTGTGTGTTTGAGAAGGAAAAGGGGGCCAAGATAATATGTGTGCAATATTCAGAATCCCCAGTTGCCCAAGATATGAGCTCTCCAAGGTGAAGGGACTGATACATTGCCACTGACTTTCTCCATCTCTAACCTTTACTGGCTGTGGCCATTTGGCCTGAGGTCTCTGTGGACTCAACCCAAAGAGACTAGACATGTGCTTCAGGGTCCTGATGTTCCTAGGATCCTGCCAGCTCCTTCCCTTGTGGCTTCTAGGGGAATTAGCAATGAGAGTTGCAAACTGCCTCAAGACTGAGCCTCAAGCAGTGGTGGTGGCAGTTCTGGGAGTAAGAGAGCAAGTTCTTCAAAGGTGTTCACTGGCTCTTGCAGAAGCAGGCAGAGGCTTCAGGGAGCAACCCTGAGGGAACGGACAGAGTTTGTAGTTTCTGCCTGCAATCTCAGAAGGAAATCAGATGGCTGGTTTAGTGTCCTTGCTTGAGGCCCCCTAGAGATTAGAGGCCAAGCCCGCCCCCATATTTGATAAGCGAGGAGACTGAAGCCCATAGAGGTAAAGGGACTATTAGACCCACCAGGTAGGCAGTAAGGGATGGTGGGGGGAGGATAGACATTGACACCAAGAAGACTTAGGTTCAAATCCCAGCTCTACCACTGCCTAGCTGAATAGCCTTGGTAGTCTATTTCACCTTCTCTAAACCCCAAACTGCTCATCTATAAAATGGAGATAATAACATCTAATTGGAGGGCTGGAAAGATGGGAGAAAAATAGACGTATAGCTTCTGGGACAGAGTAGGTATTCTGTAAACTGTAGCTTTAACAATGCGCGAAATCTGCACTTCTCATGACTTTGGAGACCTTTGCTTTATTTTATTTCGACCACTACAAGTATCTGAATAGACTGTGTGCTTTTTTATTGAGGAATAATTTACCTACAGTGAAATGCACAGATCTTAAGTGTAAAATGTGATGAGTTGTAACAAATGTATACATTCTGTAGTAACCATCACTCTCATCAAGATGCATGGCATCTCCAGCACCCCTCAGGGCACCCTCATGCTCTTTTCTAGTCAATCTCTACCCCCACAGGCAATACTGCTCTGAATTCTATCGCCATAGATCAGTTGTGCTTGTTTCATGGAAGTGGAATCCTACAATATGTGGACTTTTGTGTCTGGTTTCTTTTATGCAACATGTTTTTGTATCCAGCCCTGCTGTTTGGGATTGGTAGTTTGGTGTTTTTCCCCTATTTTATTGCTGAGTAACATTCCATTGTATAAATATGTCATAACTAGTTTATCTATTCCCCTGTGTTGGACTTTGAGTAATTTTCATATTTGACTATTGTGAATAAAGCTGCTATGAACATTCTAGTACAAGTCTTTGTGTGGACTGAGTTTTCATTTCTCTTGGATATATGTACCTAGAAGTGAGATTGCTGGGTCACATGGTAAGAATATGTTTGGCTTTAGAAGGAACTACCAGTTTTTCAAAGTGGTTGTTCACATGTTTCTTGAAATAAGGTTGCAATGAATTCATTTTTTAGCTAGTGCCTCATCATGCTTAGAATGACCGTCAACCAGGGAAAGAAGACTAAGGGTGCCCAGAGGCTTCTCTAGACGTCAGAATCCAGTTACAACTGTCCCTAGAATGATTCTGAAAGGAGAACTTTTAAGTTTTTTTTAGCTTTTTTTGGGGGGGGCAGGGTCACACTCTATCACCGAGGTTGGAGTACAGTGGCTCGACCATGGTTCATTGCAACCTTGGACTCCTGGGCTCAAGTGATCCTGCCACCTCAGCCTCCTGAGTAACTGGAACTACAGCTCACAACACCATGCCCAGCTAACTTTTAAATTTTTTTGTGAGGATGAGGTCTTGCTATGTTGTCCAGCCTTTTCTCTAACTTCTGGTTTCAAACAATCCTCCCGTCTCAACCTCCCAAAGTGCTGGAATGACAGGAGTGAGCCACCACATCCAGACCCTTTTAAAGAAAGGGTCCCCTGCTCACTGCCAGATTCCTTCCTAATGGCCCCATCATTTCCTATTGACAGTTCCAATAGAACCATAAAAGATGAGGCAGCAGAATTCACATGCTCCAACTCCTTCCTTTTACCCAACAGTACTGTGAAGCCCAGAGAGGCAATGTGGTTCCTCCAAAGTTACACAACCAAGGAAAATCCCAGGTCTTCTGCTTCCTAATCTGATATGATTTCCTTGCATTGTTTTTTTTTTAATGAATGAAATGGCATTCAGTCATTTTGCCATTGGTTACTGAACACCTGCTTTGTACCAGATGCCAGGATAAATGAATAAGACATGGTTTCCATCCTCAAGGGTCTCATAAACTAGAGAGGAAGACAGTCTATTAAACTCTAGTCATTTTCATCATATTGACAAGTATCAATAGACCAAATGCATCCTTAGCCAGAGCACATAGAGAGTCAGATTGAGTGGCTAAAAGTAAAGAAACGTCCAGACAGGTTACTTTCTTAGTAAAGGAGAATCACATGTCTCGAGGGCCCATTTTGTTTTGAGGGCCTGGTTGCAAAAGGACAGCATCTACCCTCAAGGAACTCGCAAGGTCGGACATGATGATGCCAATGAGGGAACCCAAGTTCAAGGCAACTCAGCAAACAGCTCTTGTGCATCTATTGTATTCCAGGCATTGTTCTAGGTACAGAATATAGGGTGGCAAACAGAGCTGACAATCTTACAACCTCTCAGAAGCTTGGCACGGATGTTGCCATAACGTATTAGTGTAAATGTATTTTTTGAATATCTGTATTTTGTTTGGAATACATCAGTCTGGAGACTTTAGAGCTGGCATTGTTTGTAAGTGTTAGCTTCTAAGATGGGGTGGGACATGGTCTTACATAGATTAGGGTATCGGAGGAGCAGGGGAATTTGATTTGTTTCATTCTCTTGCAAGGACGTGAACAAGATGGATATCAACACTTAGTATGCAAGTTGAAATTGTCTAGCACCCACTGGATTATTTAGTCATGCTCTCCAGGGAAGCCTATGGCTACAGGTAGTTCTGGGGCAGCTTAGCTCATTCGTTTGGGCAGAAGGCACATCCCCAGAAGGCAAGTGATTCTGCTATTTGGCCTCAATGTCCTCCAACCACCCCATTTCCCGATGTTCTTCTAGTCATGGCATCTAATAATTCTTCTCATGTGTAAGAGAAGGCCCCTTTCAGTACTTCAGAGAGATTTGTTGTGTTGTTCCCTGAACATGGATTAGACAAGGCTCTTCAACAGCACTGTTGCTGATCTTCAGGAGCTCAGTGGCTCCATGGGGCCCGAGTGAGAGTCTATACTTGGTAGGGGCAAACTGTTGGCCCTTGTCAAGGATGCTTCTTCTCCAAACCACAGCCAAGTCACTTGATCAAATAGTCCAGTAACATTTTGCCTTTGATCCACAGCCATACCCTGTGTCACTGACCCACCATGAACAGGACGAAGAAGACTGCTGTCCGACTGCCTCAAAATCGGCAAAAACCTATAAAGACTGAATGGAATTCCCGATGTGTGCTTTTCACCTATTTCCAAGGGGACATCAGCAGCGTTGTGGATGAGCACTTCTCCAGAGCCCTGGGCAATATCGAGAGCTCCCAGGGATTGAGCCCCTCGAGCCAGAATGAAGATGTGATCCTAAAAAATGGTGAGCATGTGGGGAGGAAGAAGGCAGGGATTCCCTGTCAAGGCTGTCACAGAAAGACCAGTTCTTTGACATACTTGATGCACTTGGACATGTATATATTTGCAAGGCAAGTCACGCTGTCTAGTGAGAAACCACACCCCTTCTTCAAAATTTAATGTCAAAATGGGGCTGCCATCTACTGCTCCAGCCTCATCTTCTCCCCCAGTACTCTCCTTCAGAAACTGACTTCCTTCCATCCTTCATGTTTGTTCTGATCCCCATATGACCTTTGCACAAACTGTTCCTTGTCTGTAAAGCTCTTCCCTTTCTTCTCTTAATTAACACACATTCGTCCTAAGATCATTTCCTTAAGGCAGCTTTCCCTGACCACTCACCCCTAAATATCCAGCTATCCTGTTACGATTTTCCTAGTATTCTTTAATTCTCCTTCACAGCCCTTGTCATAACTGCAGATTTTAAGCTTGTATAATTATTTGATTATTGCATACTCCCCCATTAAACACAAAGTTCTGTGAGAGCAGGGACTATTGCTGGTTTTGCACAACGTTGTGTTTCCAGGCCAGGTGTGGTGGCTCACTCCTGTAATCTCAGCACTTTGGTAGGCCAAGGCAGGATGATTACTTGAGACCAGGAGTTGGCAACAAGCCTGGGCAGCATAACAAGATCTCGTCTCCACAAAAAATAAAGAAATTAACCAGGAGTGATGGCATGCACCTGTGGTCCCAGCTACTCATGAGGCTGAGGCAGAAGAATTGCCTGAGCTCATGGGGTTGAGGCTGCAGTGAGCAGTGATAGTGCCACTGCACTCCAGCCGGGGTGACAGAGTGAGACCCCAACTAAAAAAAAAGTGTGTTTCTAGCATCTAGAAACAGTGACTGAAATGGTGGACAATCAGTAAGAATGTGTTGAATGAATTAGTGAATATATGAATTTCAAATTTATGAGCACTATAACTAGGTACAAAGATCCTTGAACTTTCGATCAAAGACTAAGATCAGACTTCTGCTGAATAAGCCAGTGGAACAGAAATATGGTAGGTTTTAAATGTTGACGGTATTTGCATTTTATGTAATTTATTCCCATAAATAAAGTGCACAATTGTAGAGAGGTGGTTTTGAAAAAAATTTAAGTTAAAGCTACTAAAAGAAAGAATTTTAATGTAAAAGTAGGTACTGTTTGATCAAATTAGTTCACCTGTTTGGTTATTTCCTCAATCATGTTAAGTGCTGGCATCACTGCTCAAATACTTAATGAGAACTCCACAACTGCTCATTATTATCATCATTATCAATATTCTTCTTCCTCCTCCTCTTCTTCTTCTTCTTTTTTTTTTTGAGTTGAGGTCTCACTGTCACCTAGGCTGGAGTGCAGTGGCATGGCCATGGCTTACCAAAGCCTCGAACTTCTGGGCTCAGGTGATTCTGCCACCTCAATCTCCCGAGTAGCTAGGACTACAGGCATGTGCCACCAAGCCTTACTAATTTTTTTTTTAATTTTGTAGAGATGAGGTCTCCCTATGTTGTCTAGGCTGCTCTGGAACTCCTGGGCTCAAGCAATCCTCTCACCTCAGATTTCCAAAGTGCAGGGATTATAGGAGTGAACCACCACGCTCAGCCTTTCTTTCCTTTTCCTTTTTTTTTTTCTTCTTGAAACAGCATCTTGCTCTGTAACCCAGGATGGGGTATGGCACAGTCTTGGCTTACTACAACCTTGAACTCCTGGGTTCAAGTGATCTTCCTGCCTTATCTTCCCAAAGTGCTGGATTACAGACATGAGCCACTGTGCCCTTCTGGTATTATTACGATTACAATTACAATTACGATTACCATTGGCCTGACAGGGAAGGAACACCAAAGGATCCGTGATAAGAAAAAGCATGTCCCATGTAGGTGCTCCCAGCATTCTCTTGACTAATAGTGGATGATCTGGAGAGAAAGGGTGGGGGCCAGAGTGTGGTAGAGTCTTGTCAGTCCCTCTCCCACCCTTCGCAGGGCCAGCAGTGTCTATTACACACACTATTTGTTAATTGTTAAGAAATAAGCATTCTCACATCTCAAAGGAGTTTCTTCAAAAAAGTTAGGTCAAACTGTGCACATCAAAATACCCAGGTATGGAGGAAGCTTTAAACATTAAGCAGGCAGGGCTGCAGTATGGCTTCCATGGGCCCTAGATAGTTTTGCCTTCATGGGCTCCTTCCTCCATACAAATATTAAAATTACTTTTTCTGACTGCATTGGTATAAAAATGAATATAATCCAGGCTGGATTCATTTTTAAGATATATTCAGTATGATTATCATATTTTGCTTCTGATTTTAAAACTTTTTCGTGGGCCCCTGAAAGTGTTCATGGACCCTAGGCACTGTGTCTCCTGCACCTAATAGAGAAGTCATCCCTGCCAGCCAAATGTGACTCAGTATGGCTCCCCTTTACGTTTTCTAAAAGTCTGTAGATAGATCAGGGTCTGGTAGATTTCAGGAGCCGAACACACATGTTGAATGCCTTGCTCCCATCAGAAGACAAATGTACCTCCAAGTGGGACATGTTATTTTAAAGTGGACAAGTGGGGCTTCTGCCTGTGGACAAAGAGCTCACCTGTTTCCAGATGCTATCACTCTGGCTTTGCTCTTTGAGTCTGGACAGGGAGTTGGTGTGTATCTGATGTATTCACCTTTGCAGAATTGGCTTTTTTCTTAGAAATTACTTTTCCATTCAAGTGATGTAACTTTCTCAGAGAGTCTTGTGGGTTAAGTAAACACGAAGGGCTGTGTGGTAGCAGTAGATACTAAAGGAAACAATGTAGAGCTTGCTGTTAAAATGGGCAGGAGTGAGTGGGTGGAGAGTGGGGAGGTGATGTCTAAGAAGGTGCTGGATAATCAAAGCAAGAGCAGAAATGACTGTGATCTTGAGTCATTTGGGAGACTGACATGTGGTAAGAGCTGAGAAATGTGGGGTGTGGGATTCAAAAGATCTAACTGACTCCTTGGAAGGATCACAAAATCCCTGGCACTTAATACATGGACAAGTATGCTGACTTTGACTATTTGACTCTGATTTATTTCTGAACACATTGGCTTAGATCCATGCCAGTCATTCTCTTGCAAGCACCATCAATCCACAGTTCCTCACTTTCTCTATTCTACCTTCCTGGTAAAACTCAAGCTAAGATCAAACCAATTCTTGGCCTATTTCCCATTTTCTTTGTTTCATTTTAGGAACAAAACTCAAAAGTGGTATTCACACACACTCTGTCCTCTCCTCTCACACTTTCTAGATATCACTTCATTTATACTCTTTACCTCATCACTCCTTGAAATCACTTTTGTCAAGGTTAGCCAGTAACCTCCACTTTTCAAATCCAATGGTCCCTCTCTGTCCTCGTCTTATTCAACCTACCAGCAACATATGCTGCAGTGGATTGCTCCCTCCTCCTGGAAATGTTTCCTTCACTTGGATTCCAAAATATCACACTTTCTTGGTTTTCCTCCGATCTCCCTGGTTACTACGCCTTCTCACTCTCCTTTGCTGGATGTCCTCCTCTTTACGATTCCTAAACATTCCAGGGCCCCAGCACTCAGATCTCAGACCTGCACTCACCAGGTGATCTTTTCCACTCTGTTGGTCTTAAATGCCATCGATATGTTGACCAATTCCAAATGCATACATGCAGCCCAGAATGCGCTTAACACCTGTCTATCTAACTGCCTGCCTGACCTTCACTTCATGTGTCTAATAGGAATTTCAAACAAAAGAGGTCCCAAATTGAACTCTTAATTTCTCCCTCAAGCTATCTCATCCACAGTCTCCCCATCTCAGTAAAAGGCAGTTGCATCCTTCCAATTACTTGGATCCGTGTTTAGCTCCTCTCTTTGTCTCACACCCCATATCCAATCCGTTGGGAAGTTCTGTAGTTTTTACCTTCCAGATATCCATGATCTGGTGGCCACATCTTCCCACCTCCACTGCTATCACCTGGGTCTGATAAGCCATCATTTCCCCCTGGTTTGTTACAAGCATTTTCCAATTGAGAGCTTGTTTGGAGGTTCTAGCAGGGAAGCACAGCTACTTGCATACCTTTGACTAAAGAAGAGTCTTCCTCTAGCGGGGATGGTCATTCTCTTCGACAGAGCATGCAGCTTCAGGAAGGATAAATATGGAGTGATAAGGGAGGAAGGGGACACCCACCTAGCCAGCCAGATCAGCCGAATCAACCTTGGCAATCAATGGGGTGACAGATGTTGCAGCCAGATTGCCCTCATATCTTCGTCTCCTAATTGATCTCACTGCTTCTGTTCTTCCTCTCATTTCATCTATTCTCAAGATAGCAGTCAGAATGATAGCATTAAAATGAAAGTTATAGCATAGCACTCTTCTGTTCAAAGCCCTCTAACAGCTTCTCACCTCACATCAAATCAAATCCAAAGTCTACCATGAGACCTACCTCATCTGGGCCCCTGTTGTCTGTCTGGTGTCATGCCTACCACTCCAGTCTATGCTCCTCACTATTCTCAGACTATGCCAAGAACAATCCTGCCAAGAACAATCCTGCCAAGAACAACGCTTTGCACTTGAACTCCCCAGTCCCTAGAATGCTCTTTCCCCCAGATATCTGCATGACTTCCCCTTTCTCCATTCAAGTCTCCATCTGAATATTGCCTTCACACAGGACTTCTCTGAGCAATCAACTTAAAAAATAGGAGCCCAGTCCTGTCACATTCTGTGTTTTAGTTTTCTTCTTAACGATTCTCACCCCTGGGCACATTGTATGTCGATGTGTTTCTTAATTCCTCCCTTTATTTACCCTCTGAGCTCTGTGGCAGCAAGGACTCAGTCTGTTAACTGCCACTTTCCAAGTACCTAGCACAATGCCTAATACATGGAAACACTCAATATATATTGCTTGAATGAATGAAATTGTGATTTACATCACTGGGTATTGACCCTGCAGATGGGGTCACCATAGAGAGGTGATACAGTGTGGTGTACAGCTTTTGAACCAGT